CAAATTTGAAGGCCGCGAATTATCACCTCTCTTAGAACATACAGACACACAACAAGTCGTTTGAGGCATTTTTGAGCTATTATATTTATGAAGCAAACAAAAAGCACGATAACATGGTGAGACAAAGAACATGAAGAATATAAACAAGAACCGCATCGCTACTGGCGCCCTCTACTGGTATAATTAGCACAAAAAACAACAACAAAAACATGCATATATGAAAGCGTGGGTTAAAAAATGATAATTTACGTATGAGATCTGATCGTGCAAGTTAAATAATGTAGATATGGCAAAACAAGTAGTCAAGTTATCATCATATATATTTACAGACCTGTATGATTTTACTGTTCAATAAAAAGATTTAAAAATCATTTTTGTAATGGGCGCAATTATTGTATTTAGAGCCACGTGATTTGGGTTACAGTTAAACATTAATCCGTCTTCGGATACACATTTTCTAGTGCATTCTAAGCCAGTTTAGAGAGAAACATTAATGTGTTTTCAAAGAGCTTAGTATATAACAGTTTTTATTAGCAACCTTTAGTACATATGCTAACAGGTTTATTAAACTTCTGGAAGAATTTCATCTCATAAGATACATCTCAGGGATTTAATAATCACATATATTGCTCTGTCGGAACATCAGTAATTTTATAAATATGTATTATGCAAAGTTTCAATTACTTATAGATTGAGTAAAGCCAAAATATATTACCAAATGTTGGCATGAGAATAAATCATATAGAAAATGGAAAGATATAAATTCATAAAAATGAGAAAATTAGTAAAATAAGGGGTCTAAGATTTCCTATGAGGTATACCTAAAAAACCTGAACGTTTCATGTAGTCAGAGGTGAAGTTAGAAATTTTTGTTTACTGACAAACAGGCACGAGCCGCTTTATAAGGTAGATACGTTAAAAGAGCGTTACAATAAGTTATTATTTACTATTGCTATGTAAAATTATTAGAAACAATATTTATCCTTGTTAACACAAAAGAGTTCGGCTGGAGTATTTAATACACTTCCTTTAGGATATTGTTCGAATAAGGACTCCATTATGAAAAGCGCATTTTTCGTCAAAATAGTAAACGTGCAGATTTTTTATTCCGAAAATTAAAATTAGCCTGGTTGGCTTCATATAAACATTGACAATAATGCTGAAACATTGGAGATCACTGAAACATTTCATAACTGAAATCATTAGCTATACCTAGTAAATTATTAATAGATCTAATACATAACTTTCGCTATCTTAGTCGATGCCCGCTACACAATGGGCTATCTGCACTTTCTTCACCGCGTACAACCAGTAATTCCACATAAAGGAAGGTTTATAAAATACGTGGCACTTTTGAATGAGGTTGAAACACAATTAAAATAAAGTAATACATTAGTGGATATCATATCTTATTAGCCCCAAATATCCTATGAAAAACCAATTATGACTCAAAACATAGTTTGGACTGACCTGTTATATGAACGCCTCACAACGAACTGATTCTCATAAAAGTAAGATGCGATTAAGTTTAGTAATCTATCTGGCCGTATTCTTCATTTTAACGAAATGTTTGGTAAATATGAAATACTAATAAATCGTGTTGAATAGTGCCTTTAATCATGATTTGTGTGAAATCGGATCTCATGCGTTTTTGTAATGAATAAACAAAATGAAATTGGCAGTTTTCAGAAATTTCTAGGATTCATCCAACAAAATAACACAGCTGAGCTGGTCTCTGCGCAAAACCATGCGCGCTCTATCCACAGCGGGGAGTCAAATCCGGATTTTACAGTTGTAATTCCGGAAACTTATCGCTGACCCATGGTGGACAGTGAGCTAGTATGAATTAGGAAGATTCGAAAGAGCGAAATACCAGTACCTAGTTGATAATTACAACATAAAAACTCTGGTATTTGTACAATCTTGGTGTTTATCGAAAACTTTTGGTGATAATAGTATTTATTACTTGTTTGTTTCGGATATTCGCGCAAAGCTGCATAAGAGCTATCTAATTTGAATTGATAGATTAGAAAGAAGGTAGCAAGTCAACAGCCCCCACCATCAACTCTTGGGCAACTCTAACTGAATTGCGAGATTTGACCATCACTCTCTTAACGCATCAATGGCCACAAAGTGCGGAGCGCAATTTTTTGACGGTAAAGGAGCGAAAACCATAGGCCCTCGGATTTACAGTCCAACACGCCCGCCAACCACTACACTTTATTCATTCGTTTTAGACAATCTCATTTAATAGATTCAAGAAACAAAACAAGGCGCAGACCTTTAGAATTTGCAGCCTTATTAATGTCTCGTCTGCTAATAATTCCAATTAAAATCACTAACCAGTTGCCCTGAAAAACAAACAAAAACAAAAAATAAAAACAGTTTACACATTAAGGCGTAACACGTATGTGTGTTTTCTTTCATGACAAAAACCACAGCAGTTCATGCGCACATGGAATAAGCGTTTAGTTAAGAAACCTCTAAGGTTCAGGTTATAGCTATCACTAAACTCCCGACTAGGGCAAATACTGTCAGTGAGCAGTATCTGCCACCACAAGCGCTTTTAGCCGAATAACTGTTATCCTTTTAATGTACCTAGAGTGCAGAGCATGTTCAGTGGCATCACTTGGGATTTCGATCCGCATCAACGCTCAACATAATGAACCTATCCAGTTCTGTGCAAACCATACGTGGTCGTGCTCTTTCTTAAACAATTCTAGATGATGATAATTTAGGAAGACATCGTTTTCTAAGTGTACATTTTTGATTTCGTGATGTAACATAGCCATGTAAACAGTGTTTTACATATCGTTTCTTTAAGAGAAATTTTAAAAAATCTTTGCATCCACTATGATAAAAATGTTTATCAATACAGTGTATCTAATTATAACCTACTACGAATCCATTGTGACTCGTTTATCATCACATATTTCTTTTCAGATATTACGATAACAGACTACTATTTAAATTAACCTTTACTTCCTTAGTAGAGAAAATTTTCCATACTAACTGTGCTTTAACTTAACGGCAGTTTTTTTTCTTCACGAAGTAACCACATGCTCCTATGTACGTGCAAGTACAAGGTTCATTCACCCAAAACTCTCGATCAATGAAAAAATTAGACATACATGACGCATACACTAGCAGCAAAACTTCTACTTCAAGGTCAAGCATGATACAAACATTATAGGGTTCAATCGTCTGCGATTCAAGGCCCACTGTAAACATAGATGGCATCCCGCGAAAGAATCACAATTACAATTCAATTCATAAATGAAAACGCACTAGGTTTATGGGTTAATCAATGCGATACTGGTTTCTTTGTACATTAAACCTTTTTGTCTCATAGTTTATTTAGGCTAATGTTCCTATTTAGAAGATGTTTATATATAATTATTGCATTGATTTTAAATTAACTTTTAAGTTAACAGTAAACAATCCACGTAGTGTACACTACTTGTGTTTCAAAATCGGTTATTGTTGCTAGTTGGTTTTAGATATCGTGTTATTATAACATAATTATATGGAATCAATGGCTATTTTTCAACCCAATGAATCTACCATAGGAGTTTTGTTTGCATGTTACTGTACTTATTTTTCAAGTTGTGTTTTTAAAATGTAGAAATGTTTGTTTCTACACAGAGGTATAATACATAGTTCGTTACGGTAGACAACACACTTATTTACTGCTGAACGTTTTTTGAGCTTCAGTTTATTATGTCTGTTTGGAACGACAGGCTAAATCAGAACAGTTATAGGTATACAATTTTAATTTGCGAGGCAATTCTGTGAACTTTCGAGTGGAAGCAAAGAAGAACATATAATAATAATGCAAGATATTTTCTGAAAATGTTGATTTTCTATATATAAATATAGTACAGAAATGAATAAAAACAAGTGGTAATTTCTATAAATTTCTTATAGATAACATTTGCCCTCGTGAATTTCAGTAAATTAACGACAAAAAATTACTTCGGCAAATTCACATCAGGAGGTATTTATTAAATTCTAAAATACATCTTGTTTTGGAATACGTAAAACCTGAATATTAAAATATATGGGAATTACTTTAGCATGGAACTGTAAATGTGTTTATACGAGAGAACATCAACCACAAATCAATGACATGCACAATCACTGTACAACGTGTAGTATGTTGTAAAACATAATTTAAACATGTGTAACCGAATAAAATTTGAGCTTCTCTGTTACCATAACACTACCATATTGTGAACTTGTACACAGGTTTTCATTACTTATAACAAGCCATGTATCAAACTTTTTAAGTATAAAACAGTATATTTATGCTTATAGAGCAAATGTCAAAAAAATATATACATACACTAAAAAGCATATTAAATAATTGGCCAGATTAAAAAAAAAGCACTACATACTTCATAAGGCAACTTCACTATATTGTATGTTTATATATACCCACACACACACAACACGCTTCAATACTGATGAACATTAAATTGTGAGCATTCTGATACAATATCCTGTGCTTATGTCAAACAAAAGTTTGATTTATATAAAAATAGTTTGATACCACAGACCTTCTGTAAGACATAATACATGACATCAATTTATGATTACATGAACTGAAAAAGTAACACGATTTAAAAATCATTTCTTTAAACCTGACTTTTTATATTATAAATAAAGATATACTGTAATGTACAAATAGCATATTAAAAGAAACATATACTAAGTAATTTTAAACTATAAAAGTAAATGATAAAGACTTACTGCATTCATGCATTTAAAAGATTGTTAATTAGATATAATGTTACATTTTACAAAATGAGTGAAGTGATATGAGGATGAACAAGAAAACAATGATAGAAGTGTCAAGATAAGAAACAAAAAATTAATAGCAAACTAGGTTTCATTTAAAATATAATTTGGCTTTATATATTTGCTTTTTTTAACCAAGCAATAGTAGCAAAATTTCTTTAAGTTTAAATGCCTATATTAAACATTAATTACTAGTTTTTATGCACCTATACAAAACATCAAAAATATTTTTAAATAGAAATTTTTTTAAACAATATTAAAATAGATATACTAATACTAAACTTTCTCTTCTATACCAATACAACTACATGCACAATCATCACAAGTTTGAGTATCTTCCATAGTTTCAATATAACTAACTATAAAATTTGGAGTAAAATTTTAATTCTTGAATGCTTATTTCATAGATAAAACTCTTAAAGGTCACCAAACATTAAACTTACAAGTAAAATGTAAAACTACAGTACTTTGCAAATATTTGTGATAGAATAATTATTCCTCATGAAACATGTTGATCATGGATTAATAAGTTTTTTTAATTGAATAAAATATTTCATATGTATCTATAACTTATTTTATGAGAATGTGTGGGCTTTTGATAAAAGTAACTTTTTTTTTATACACAATAATTAAATTATATAATTCCAATAGTAAACACAAAAGTTATTTGCAAACATGATTTGTTTTAGAAAATTATATATATATATGCATATAGTCATGTTTCAAAAGAACTTCCAAGAACACAGTTATTGCATGTAAAACATTCATATCAGTCAGCATTTTTGCCTGAAATGTCTTATACAACCTGTGAGTCTTCAACAATAAATGCGAATTGCTTGATTTGCAGATTGGTGGCATATTGGGCATTCAGCTTCAGGCTTCTCACATATACGATTAGCACACTCAAGACAGAACAGATTATGACCACAAGGTACAAGAGCTGCAACTATATCACTTTCAAAGCAAATTATACATTCTCGTTTTCCTCTTCGTCCTCCAGAACCAAAAGAATCAGTGGGACTGCTAGCCAAACTGCTGGTGACATTAGAAATAGCCTTATTGCTATTTCCATTTGGCAGTGCTAAAAGAGAAGGCACCACACATGAAGGGTCACTCCTGATACGGCGAGCAGGTGGATGGTCAAGGAGCAAAGAATCTGCAAAAGAGGTCAAGCCACTACTGACACTGGTCATGCTGTTACTACAACCTGACAAGTTAGCAAGAGATGTGTTTCTGAAGGACGTAGAAGTGTGAGAATTCCCAAACTCTGACCACACTGTATTCAAAGGAGGTGGAACAAGTTGTGAATCTAAAGTGGGTGACTCTCCTAGGCCTTCATCAGGGTCATAAAATCCAAAGCTTTTACTGAAACCATTAGTGTACGAGGAGAAATCAGTTAATTTTGCAGTTCCATTCATTGTTGAGAAATTGAAAATGGAGCCCTGAGAAGATATGTCCAAAGTATTGCTTTCATGAGAAAAAAGTCCAAAATCATTTATTTCTGACTTGTAAAGTGAACTAACTAAATTGTTTGTCAAGTTCAAGTTTCCTGTGAAAGCTTGGTCAACTTCATTTGAGTGGAAATCATTACTTCCACATGGATCCATGATGCTGCCAGTGCGCATTGCTATATGCGCCTCTATTTCTTTTTTTGCACTCTCCACATTTTCAGGGAGTCCTGTGACTTCAAACACAGGTTCCTTATCACGACTTGGTGTTACAATGTAAGTGTTGGTCTGCTGCTGAATTCGTTTAATTGTAGCACCCTTAGGCCCCACCACCAAGCCAACCACACGATATGGAACCCTAACTTGAATTGTGGTTTGTCCAGGAATGTTAGAATTAGGTCCAGGAGCTAAAGAGCCATTCATGCTTTTGCGCTGGGCTCTAATCTGACTGAAGTGCTCTGCAGCAGATAATATTTCTCTTTTGGCCAAACATACATCCTCTTTACGTCCAGTTACTACGAACACTGGTTCCTCTCCTCTAACAGGGGTTTTAATATAGGTGTTGGTTTTGGCCCGTAGTGCTTTGATTTTACATCCTAGAAAAGAAACAAGTGCATCACTTGAGATTCCAGCACAATGTTTATAATACATCAAGGACAATTAATAAATTTTTTTATAAAACTTATGGATACTGTACTTAACACCTAGAAATCATTAAAACAAAAAACAGACTAGGAGACAGAAAGAGATCCTACAAGACAGAAGTTTGATATTAAAAAAACTGAATCAAAATGCAGGGATGTTGATAATCTTAATGACTTTTCCACAACTGCTTGCTTAGTTTTTGTATAATCATATTTAAATTTTCTGATTTGTTGAGCAGTGTGGTCTAGTACTGCTAATACACCTACAATACTGTGTTTTGTCTGCTATATTGTAATACAAGGAATGTGTTTCCAATTCCACAAACTAAATATTTTTCCTCGTGGATTTTTTCTACTAAAATATTTTGTAAAAATACAGTTGACAAAGTAAAATTTCATCTTTTATTTTTTTCTAAGAAGACCACAGATAATTGGTCGTTTCCTTTATAAAAAATTTTAAAAAGGAGTCAAACACAAGCACTTTCTTTACATTTTCTACTGCTATTCAATACCAAAAAAAGAAGATAATGGTTTAGGCTACAGTTTTAAAACTTTTTGGATTATATGACTTTTACAATGGGAAAAAAATGGTCTCCTTCGTTTTTACTTCCACTATTGTATCTCACTATGTGACCAAAAATATAAAACCTACACTTCAAGTTGTAGCCTATGCGAGTTGGTCAGTAATTAGTCTATGAATAAGATGCTTAAAAACTACTTAAAACCTCTTTAAAAAAAAAACTGGCAGCGGACCTTATTAACATACAAATACATTTACCTGAAGAAGCACATTACTGTCATTAAGCGATACATACATTTAAATATAGCAAAAGTATTAGATGCACTTTTTAATTTTTAATATATTCCCGATCTAAATCACGCGTTTTAATTAAAATACCGGTCCTAATAGTAACAATACACGAATTACTCCAAAACACACATTAACCTTCCAAACTTATAGTTTTAATGGGTTCACAAAAAATCTCAATTTTGTTCACATAAAATGGACTTTTAATTTTATGTTTTTACATTTCGATGGTTGCATTCTTCCGGTATATAGTAAACGAGAATGCTCAATGCAGGTTTGTTTAAAATTAAAAACTATTGTTTAGACTTTAGGTTAAATCATAAGTGTGAATTACGTTTCTGGATTACTAGTTTAGTAACGGAATAAATTGGATGGCAAACCATCCCAAACATCAATGATACTGTTAAAAAAGTAACGCGACCTAAAAATATCAGGAGCAGTGCAACATCAAACTAATAGTGCTGCAGTCTAGACGTACGCTTTCACCAATGCACAAGCTCGTGCGTGACATAGCTTACGGCTGTGCTGTACCCTGTGAACAAAGAAAATGATCCATGTGCGCAGGAAAACGAATTCAAACAAAGAACTCGAACGAAGTGCTCTAACTTATAAGTAAAAGCTCTAAAATAACATATTTCGTATCTTACCCTGGCGTCCAACTATTTCAGCTACATGCTCTGATGTCGGCACTGGAACACACTCAGTTGTATTTTGACTTTTCTTCTTTCTTCCATCTGACTCTAGTATAGGGTTTAAAGATTCATTTTCATTTAGTCCAAGCATGGACAACTCCAAAGCTAGCTGCAGTGCTCTTTGATCCTCTAGACCCCCGCCGCCGCGTTCCATGTCTGGGAATAGACTAGCAGGCATCACAGTGGACAATTATGTGATCGACAAATAAGTATAAAAATAAATGTTATTTATAATAATTTATTATTTCTGTTAACTACCTCTTCTCACACTCACAACAACACACTACACAGAGCACAAATCGCTCTGTCCACATTACTCTCCTGCTTCGACTCCTAGTCAAGTGTGACGTCACAATGTGGCGCGCGCAGGAGCACAAAGAACGCCGGGTAAGGAAAAAGACTATGGATATCGTATATGAGTGGATAGTTTAAAGATAGTAGGCAGGGCGGTCAGAATACGCCAACTTTCCCGCGCTGATAAATGACAAGTAAAGAACGCATTGATATTGTTCGCTGAACGGAAATGGGCTGCATCATTCAGCTCTGACAGTATGGATTAATGTGAAGTGTTTAGAAGCGTTGCAGACAAAGAGCTTTGTTGCGAGAAGGTAGCACGTTTTGGCAGAATATCATATTACCAAAGGACGTTAGTAAAACACAAATTAATTACACCCATCATGATCTTTGTTTGCCAAAACTATGGAACATAAAGCGAAATTTCCGACAGAAGATAGTGTTTAATGTTTATGTATCGTATTTTAAAATTTATTATAACATGCGTTTTGTTGTATTCCTAGATTAAATATTTCAATTAGCTAAAGCTTCCCATCGAAATATCAAAGGATAAGAGTAATTATAATTCTTGTGTCACATCTAACACTTAAAATGATACGTGCTTTGTATTCCCAACAATATGTTTCTTATTTTTTACAATAAATATATAATTTTCA